GTGGGGAGGTAGAGAGATTGGAACTCTCATACACTGCTTGTGTGACTGTGAGGTGACACAACCACTGTGGAAAGCAATATGGCGATTCCTTAGAAAGTTGGAATTGGAGATACCATTTGACCCAGCAATCCCATTACTAGGTATATATCCTAGAGAGGTGAGAGCCAGGATAAAACAGATACATGCATGTTCATGTTCATCACAGCACTATTTACAATAGCAAAAAGATGGAAACAACCTACATGCCCATCAGCGGAAGAGTGGATGACCAAACTATGGTAATACACATACTGGAATGCTGTGCAGCACTAAAGAATAATGTGGATTCTATAAAACACCACATAATATGGATGAACTTGGAGGACATTTTGCTAGTGAAATAAGTCAATCACAGAAGGACAAATATAGTATTATTTTGTTGTTGTGGAGGGTCAAGGAAAGGTTTATATATGGAGGGAAACTTTCTTTGTTGGTTGCCAGGGGTGGGAGGGGAGGAGAGGGAACACTGCCAAAAAAAAAAATGCATTGACCCATGTCACTTTAGTTTTGTGTATTTCACTGTACATAAATTATATTTCAATAAAATGCATTAAAAAGAAAAAAAAAGAAATTAACAGGTCATAATTCAGGATCAGGAATGCTCAGAATACAGTTCTTCAATCTGGATAGCCTCCCCTCAGCCATTCCCAAAGGCAGGTCTCTCTCTAGCCCCTGGCCCCTTGGCCTGGCCTCTTCCCTGCTCTGGCAAGCATTAGAAAACTCTTTTAACTCTGCTAATAAATGTCCAGAGGCACCCCACTCCACCAGTAGGCCTAATCCCAAAGGCATTCAGCTTTCTTGCTGAATGGTATACCAGTCACTGTCTCCTACTGGTCTCTTGGTTCTGCTGCCTCTGCCACCACTGTTTCTCTGCTGCTGCTTCTCCCCATCTCTGGTGTCACAGCTCTCTGTCTCCTGGATTGCAGAGATTTAGTGCAAGGGTCTGGAGCCCAAAGGATGTGCTCCATTCCTGTCTTTCTTGATGGTGGTGCGATTCCCCCCTTTCCACCTCTGGAATGGCTCATTTTAAGCTTAGTGGGATGGCAAAACTGACCAATCCCCACATTAGGGTTCTGTACACCTACCTTATTTGCATAGTCCCAGCCCCACAAGCATGCCATGCACCTTATTTAGATTAGCAAGTTATCTGATCCTCTTGGTGGGCCACAAGCACCTCACATTTGCATAGTCCCATCCAGGCATCTGGTGGGAGTCACAAAGACCATGGCTAGAAGGGCCATATAGCCCAAGGTTAATCTGCTGGAACATGGCAGAACCAGTTCTCTCCTGTTTTGGTTACCTAGTGCCACTCCAACAGAAAATACCACAAATGGGATGGCTTTAACAAACAGGAGTTTATCTTATAATTTTTGGAGGCTAGAAGTTCAACTTCCAGGCTCTATGGACTGTATGAAAGCCCCTTGACCTTGGGCTCCCAGCCCATTAAAGCTAGAGGCATCTCTTCACTTAGGAAGCTATTGGCTGCTGAGGCTAACAAGCCCAAGGTCGACAACTGAAATGGCACAGTCCCAATGTTACCAAATAACATGGCAGGCCATTGATTCAAGTCCATTGAAAGTCCCAAGATCGGCAGAGCATGGCAGGCTATTGAACGACTCAGCTACATGCAGGGTTCAAGTGTGCCATAAGCTAGAAACAATTCCCAAAGCTGCTGCTTATATATGGGAAGCAGACCACATCCCTAAAGCAACTGCTCAGCTGCTTATGGTAGATCCCACCATGGAGTTGATTGCCAGTCTCATCATGGGGAATAACACCACCAGCTGCCTAGCCACTCAACCATGCCCAAGTTGACACACAACCTTAACTACCACAGTTCCTAACCACCCCCTCCCCAAGCCCTGAAGGTGGCCCCAACTGTGCCCCTGGAGCAGTTGTTGTTGTTGTTGTTGTTGTTTGCCATCGAGTAGATATCCCCAATTCACTCTTTCTGAATCCCTCTCCCCACAGTCCTATTACTTCCCTTTCTCACTTCCCTCATGTCCACCTCCCTCTGCACCACAACTGTTGCATCAGGAAATAGGAAGGCCAGAGGTTAAGTCAGGGTGGAGAGTGAAGCAATTACTTCCAAGCCCCCTCCACCCCTTGAGGAGGGTCACACTGATCACTTCACCATTGTTTAACAGTCCATGAGACTGACCCTGTAATTATTGCAAAGATTATACATTTTACAAACAGGGAAACTGAGACTCAGAGAGGTTTAAGTGATTTGCCCAAGTTCACACAGCTGGGAAGTTTGTCTTGTGTCATTTTTCTTCAGTAAGACTTTGTCCAGGGACCGTGGGTTGAGTGCTGAAGGGTTGCTTGGCAGGGTGTAAGGTGCCAGGGATACAGTGACAAACAAAACAGGGTTGAGAATGACATAGGAAATTTGGCAGGAGAGTGAGTAGAGGAGGAGGCTCAGGAGCAGAGAGGATGGGGGAGAAGTTAGAGCTAAAGAGGTCTGCACAACACCCGTCCCTACCCCCTACTGCCTTTTGCCCTTCCAGTTCCTCCTGTAGCCTGGTTCCCGTTTCCCTGCTGACTCTAAGAGGCAGGCCCGCCCAGACAAAGTCAGATCTCTTCTGGTGGTGGCACAGTGCTCAACATGACCACCCAAGCACAGGCCTCAGGATACCTGCTGCCACTGCTGTTGCTGCTGCCCACCCTGCCAGCCACAGGTAAGTGGGTGAGGGTTCAGCTGGCCACCAGGTGTGCCTGGACGCACTACACACTCCTGACCATGTCCCATCCCCTGGCCCTATCATAGGCTCAGACCCTGTACTCTGCTTCACTGAGTATGAGGAATCCTCGGGCAAGTGCAAGCACCTCCTGGGGGGAGGTGTCAGTGCTGAAGACTGCTGTCTCAATGCTGCCTATGCCTTCCAGGAGCCAGGCAGTAGGCTCTGTCAGGCATGCAGGTTAGGAGGGTCATGGGGCAGGGGAGCATGGGGAGGCACAAAAGACTGTCAAATGGGCTGGCTGACCAAGGACCAGTTTCTTTCCTTCTCTGGGATTTCCAAGGGTGACTCTGAAGCTCTGATAGTGATCATAGCACAGGGTTTATTAGCCTCAGCACTATTGACATTTCAGGTCAGAAAATTATTTAGTTTGGGGGCTGTCCTGTGTATTGTAGGATAATGCAGGGGGTTTAATTGCATCCCTGGCCTCTGCCCACTAGATGTCAGTAACCACCCCAGCCCGGCAGTTGTGACAATCAAAAATGTCCCCAGGCATTGCTGAATGCTCCTTAGGGAATAAAATCCCCTCTGGTTGAGAACCACTGCCATAAATTCAAAATAAAAAAGTTCACATATATTAACTGCTTCCTATATCCTAGAAGGAGCTCTGGTGGCATAGTGCCTAAGGCATTTGACCGCTAACCAGAAAGCTGGTGGTTCAAACCGACCAACCACTCCTCGGAAGGAAGGCTGGGCAATCTAATTCCATAGTGATACTGCCTTGGAAACCCAAAGAGGGGTCGCTATGTGTCGGATCCAATT